CACAAAACAAGAAGATAGAATCGACGAGAGTCCCTTTTCGACGAGTGTTCGTCAACACTGCCTCGGAAAACAAGGGGAAGAGATTGACCTCCTCACCTCTTAATCTAGAATTGAGGTCAGTGATCAAACTATAATACGGGAAGGGTCCACAAGGGTCGCGCGGGCATATTCCATTTAGCACGCCAGCCGGTCGTAGGCAGACGGTCTTGCGACGAAGCAACGCAGCGCCGAGTCGGAATGCCTGCTAGGCCTATACGCTTCGTCGGAGTCGGTGAATCCAGCGTTCTTGTTCGTCGTGGTCTGTTTTAAGTACTGTTTTCTTGCTGCTTGAAGTCGGCACGCGCGGGAAGAACACGTAGAAAAATAAACGTTCAGTCAGTCAGAGTTTTGAGAGGAAGGAAAACAAAGAAAATAAATGCTCGTCGGTCGCCGTCACCCAAGTAACTGGCGGCCCTGCCCTACTGCGCACGCGCAGTAGTTGCTTCGTTTACCACACGATAGATGGCGCTTGGCTCTCAGCATTATCAAATTTGGCAATTTTCGCGACACATCTCTAATTATGCTACAAAATGTGGATCTGAATATTATTTAACAAAACTTTTAGGAAACATTCGCCGGCTATTTATTGTTTACGATCGCGGTGCTGGTGAGGTAGGCTCTTACCCAATAGGCGATGTGGATTCGGCTGACGTGCACCGATTCTGCGTATGCATCGTAGTGAACAGGCGAAGGAAGGAGGGCGCAAAAGAGTCCAGTTTTCTTTTAAAAGTTCTATAGCAAATATTTTTTTTGGGCTCCCTATTTTTGTGTTTTTGTGTTTCTTTTCACACCTTTTACGACGTGCGGTGGATGAAACTCGATTTTAAAATCATTTCATGGTCCCTTTAAGGCCATTTCGAACAAAACTATTTTTTTTATTGATGTAGATGCATAGCTAAAGGTCTGCCATGCATTATAAAGCTATTTATATTTTCACAAAATTACATTATAATACAAAAATGTACTAATTATGCTAATTATGACACTAATGAGGTCGCATTATTTATCATAAAATTTTTGTTGTCATTATAAACTGAAAAAAAATAGCTTTACTCCACAGTCCAGTCCTTTCTGAATAAAACGGTATAAAAAGTTTCAAAATGCTACGATAAAAACCTCATGAAAACCCCCGTAAGGCTAAGCACGTTGACAAAAAACATGAAGATGAGAAAATCAAAGTTAAAGTTTTGACATTGAACATAGAAAATTGTGTGAACAATGATAAATAATAATTGCCACCAAGGTGTAGTGTAAGTCTTCATGAACAACTTGACATAAAAGATGATGTAATCCATTTATGGGAACATTAGGAAAAAAATATGAAAGTAAAGAACGAGTGAAATGTTGATAAAATCACATTTTCCTGTTTCAACGCTGACTACAATAAATTATGTGAAAACCCTTATGCAATAATAGTTATCAAGATGTAGTGTAGTGCATTCTGAACAAATCATTTTAAAAATTGCAATAATTTGCTTTTGAGAAGATTGCAAAAATGGTGAAGAATTACTGATATAGGCTAAAAATTGCTTCTAAAGTGATGAGCCGACAACTTTGGACAACGGGAGAGGCGAGCAAGAGTTTCAAGCTCCAAACGTAATTTTGTTTGGCCCTGAAAAGGGCCTTTGTTCCACATGGCACTGGAAAAAGCCATTACAGCTGTCCTGGGCTGTAATCTCGTGATGCTCCTGCCTGGTGTCGCTTGGAGAACCTTTCCTTCACGCTACTGCTGCTCTGGTGCACCGCGTTTGCTTTACGTAAACGGAGACTGTCCTTTTCGATGCTTTGGCGGACAAGGCAGTCACCGGTGGCGTAGCCCAGGCCTGCAGCAATGTACTCGTTGGTCGCTCTCCTTCCCTGGTTGTAGACAGCAACAGCTTCAGCCGCAGCCCTCTTCACGCTGTCCAGGGAGGCATTCGCATTCTTTGAAGTCTGCGTCCAGATCACCGAATGCAGGCTCTCACTGGCATTCTGCGTCTTTCCCTCACTACACCGTGCCAACAGGTCTTCATTGCTGAGCCTTTCAAACACTGGCTCCAGTGCAGCCCGAACACAATCCGGAAGAGGATTCTTGTGCGGCGGCGGAGGCTCACTGTTTGCCAAGGCCCTGTTGTACTTGCACCAGGACTCCGCTCCCTCGGGGCACTTGCTGTGGTCTGGGGCGCCGTCTGTGGAGGTCATGTGCAGGAGTGTGGCTTCCACCGCCCTCTTCATCCCTGGAACGTCATGGCTGTTGCTCCTGAGAGCATAGCCGTAATAGTTAGTGATCTTCTTGATCTTTTCCTGTGTCAGCTTTCCTCTCCCACCAAGTGACTCGCCTTGTGCCTTCTTCTTCTCAACAACGTTGCGCAAGGCAGCTCCCATCCGCTTGTGGACGTGGTTCACGCAGTCCTTCTTCTCTATCTTGATGAAGCCGTAAACCTTCGCTTCAGACAAGGCATGGAATGTCCGGCTGTCCCCATCCGAAAGGACGGTGGTGTAGCGGAGACCATGCTTGGTCAGAGACCTCTGGAACATTGTGAGCGCAGCCTCCACCTCCATACGGCCAGCATTGCAGTCAATGTTCCTCTGGCAGTCGTGGGTTGCGTACCAGTCGCTGTAGCCATCGTCCTCGGGCTCCGGTCCCAAGGCACATCCAAGGCAGAAGTTGGAGTACACAACATGGTCGATGACGAGGCCAGAGTACAACTCCACAATGCAGCCTACACCAATGAGGGAGCTGCGTCCTCGGGTCATCCATGATCCGTCGAAGATGACATCGATGTTGCCAATGGGGTTCATAAAGCCTGTGTAGAGCCCCTTGACGACAGCAACACTGGCGGCTTCACTGTCAGTTGCTGCATTCTCACATGCCCGCACAAGCGTTTTCAGGTGTCCCTGGTACGTCTTGTGGTGCAGGCCCCGATGAGAAATGTTCATGGAGGCACAGAAGTCTGCCAAGGCTGTCACTCCTTTGCCAATGGATTGGATCCCCTTCATGGCCCTCATGTTCACTTCAAAGGGAGTGATCTTTGCTGTTCCAGCAACCCTGGGAGAGGAGAACTGCTTCTTCTGGAAGTCGCAAGTGCTGCAGACGAGCACAAGCTTGACGGCCAAGCCGTACTCCTTGTCCGCGGCCTTGCTGAGCGTGAGAGATCCCACACCGCAGCTTCCACACCTCGCGTGCGCGAAGAGGTCGTTGAGGACTTTCATGTCAACGATGACAAACTGGGTCCCGGCATCGCTTGTTTGGCATGATCCGTTGACTTCAAGCAGATCGAACTTCCGCTGGGTCGCCGACTTCTCCAATAAAACGCGCTTGCTTTGCTCCGATCGCTCGGCGCGCTGCGCTTGCTCGGCCGTAGAGTAGTAGGTAGAGTCGACGCGAGTGGTGCCGGCAAAACTTGAGCCATCCGGACCAGAGCTTGAGGCCGCAGCATCGTCAACGGGAAGGCTAGCCGATGGTCCCGGCAGATCCAATGCGTTCGGCAGTGGCGCAGATCGTAGCGGCGCACTTGCAGGTGATGTCTTCCGCTTGTTCCACGCACGTCGCGTCTTCCTCCCGAACGTCCGCCGCGTACTCTCTTTCAATCGAGAGTCCCCCGGCATCTCGATCGCTCGAAATAAAACTCCCGCAACTTCGTAGCGAGAAACCAACGATGTCCGACGCGAACGCGCGAACGTAAACAATTTCGAAACAACGTGCACTCAGCCGCGGAACGAACAAAGCGACGGGCCAAAACGAAGCAGACGACGCTTCTCCACGCTCCCCTTGCGCTGCTGGAGGCGCGCGCGCCAAGAGGAGGAAAGGAGCAAAAGTGGAAAGGGGCGCGTCTTGGCCTATGACAGGCGCGCGCGGCACGACGTACCCGTGACGTACGCGCGCGGGCCAATGAGGAATCGTTATTCCGGTCGTGAAAACCCGCGGAATGCGGACGCTCTCCAAGGTTGTCGCGATAGTGAGTGGGATGAGGACGTAGGGAAGAGAACCAGCTCCCCAACAAGACCAAGATGGCCGCGATCCAACGATCGGTCGTGAAGCGACGCGGGCGCGCAGTTTGACTATTTTTTTGCGTTGGATTCGCGATTTGAGCGTCGCGGAGGCATCGTATTTATCGTTTTTTTATACTTAGACGTCGAATAGGACATTGAAACTTCGCAGGCAGGTACTTCAGACTATATTCTATCCAAACATGTGATTTTTGAAAAACCCCAAATTTCGCGATTTTTTACCATTTTAAGACCCGCGTCTCGCCTTAATCGAGGTCCAAAATGTTTTAAGCATCAAACCTTCTACGCCGATTGTTCTAGAAGCCCATGCGTGCGCATAAGGGGCTCCCTCTGCACGGGGAGGCAGAGTTGGTCTCACTCTTGCAATCGATCTTGCTGCTACGCAGACCTCGACGCCCGCGATGCAGTGCTGTTATCTTCCATTTCCTTTTTGGTTTGGCATGAGTTTGCCACATTAAATGTTTAGTTTCTCCAGTCATTCCACCTCATTGTTTGTCATTCGTGACAGTGTCAACCAGCTTCTACTGTAGTAAGCACACTGGGCACCGTGGAGTTGTAGTAAAGTACCATAAATACAATGTACTCTCAAAGTAAAGTACAATTACTTTTTTAAACAACCGTTCATGACGCCATTTCAATTATAGTGCTTTTTTGTTTTTGTTATTTTCAAACTGGCACGCTTCCCGAAACGAGCGAGGCCCCGACACGGTGTCGTCGTTAGGAAAAGTCTGGGGCAGTGACGACGCGAGCGAAGGTGCAAGTTTCCCCGGCGTTGTTGAACGGTGAAGAAAGGGTGTAATGTTGACGTTCGGTGACGAGCGGAGAGGGGGACGCATGATCTTCCCCCTTCACTCGATACAGCCTTGTTTGCCCTGTGGCAGGTCCTTTCCGCTAAACTAAAAGGGGCATTGGGTGCAAGCCCACCCGACGACGAGGCGACACGTGCCAAATGGGACAGGAAGTATACGTACGGTTTGACGGCGTTGGCCGCCCCTTCCTGCTGGGCGTGCTCCGGGTAGCGCTTGGCGTAGAACTCGTCCACAGTCATGCTGGGGATGCTGGGGTAGCCCACCCCGTACACCTGCTTCTGCAGCTCGTTCTTGGTGATGATGATGGGTCGCAGGGGCTGCACAAACGTGCACCACACGTATGTGTACTGTCACCATCCTATCTACCCGCCAACCCAAAGTCAGACCGGTTGCAGTGGGAAGTTAATGAAAGAAACCCTGAAAGATGCCCCACCCCCAAATATAATCCGCCTGCCATACAACGTTTTTTCGTGACATTTTTTTTCAAGATTACTCTTACCTCACGGAACTGAGTCCTACAACTGGGGTTCCGTGTTTTCGAAAAAATCTGTACAAATCTGAAAGTCAAGGGCTAGTAACTTTTCTGTCAAATTGGATTTATCCAAAAAAACTCTGAATTTCAAGGTCACAACAAATTCTAAAAAACCAAAAATTTTATTTTTATTTTTTAAATAAGCTTTATAAGAGCGCACGCAGGATCAGTGGTTCTGAGGAGGTGCCACTTCAGTTTCCTTTGAAATCTCACACTACTGACAAAAAGGATTTCCCTCTTAGCTTATAAACATTCCTTCAAAACAAGAATACCATTTTTTTTTTTTTTTGTTTTGAAAGTGTGATACAAACTTACTTACGACTTTTCAGATAATTGGGAATCTAACAAAAATAAAGTCTGATAAACCCCGAATTTTCAACAAACAATCAACTCTGAAAGACACCTTCCGAATTTCTTGAGAAATAAACTCCGAAAACAGAAAATCCTAGCTACAGCACATGCCGCGTTAAAAATAAAGGGCCCTATTTGGGTTGGCCAGTGCAACGCTGGCACGTCACCCACCCACCTGCGACTTCTGTGGCACTGGGGCCCGCCGGGACTGAGCTCCCTCCGCCTTCATCTGGGCCATGTACTGCAAAATAGGCTTCTCCTCTGAGCCCCGAAAAGGAATTGCATGAGACCGATTAGCCACGATGGGGGAACACTTGTGGGCAGTGGTGCTACAAGACAGTTTCAGTGGGACCTTAAAACAATTTCTCATGGGCCTCTGTAATTTTTTAAGAGGAACTAAAACAACTTATAGGAATGCTGAAATATTTCTGAAAGAGGCTCATACAATAGTTAGTGGAACCCCAAAAGAGTCTCTAAAAGGACTGAAACAACTTGTAGGGACTCCAAAACGATTTTCGAAGAGACTCAAACAATTTATAATGGAACACTGAAACACTTTCTAATGAGAATCTGAAATGATTTCTAGAGGGACTGAAACAATTTCTGAAGGGGTTATGAGCCAATTTCTAAAGGAACTGGGACTACATCTGAAGGGATTTTTAATGAGACAAACAGTATTGAAAGGGACTCTGAAATAATTTCTAAACAGACTGAGACTACTTCTGAGGGGACTTTGAAACAATTTTAGAAACAATGAAACAATTTCTAAAGGAACTCATAACAATATCTAGAGTAACTAGAGCAACTTTTACAGGGACTCTAAAATCATTTGTGAAAACTCAAAGAATTCTTTAAAGGACCCTGAAACAATTTGTTGAAGAAAGAATGAGATGATTTCTAAAAAGACTCTGGTACCCATATAACACCCCATTGTTTCAAAGCACCTTACGGTCCCTCTGCAAACAAAATCCGTCTGTCATCAGAACCTGAGGCCGTCTATAATATCAACATTTCACTGAGTCAAGAAGTTAATGGCTCAATACGGCTGCTTCAGTTGTATCGCCTAAATGGTTTTCAGCCTCATTCACAACCCCAGTGGGTTCTTAAGGCCTAAGAATAAGAAATTAGACAGTATGTTTTCGTGGGCATGTTACATTTGTTTTTGTAACATATCAATGAAGTATTACTCTAGAAATACCGTAAAATACGGAATGAACGGCCACCCAACTGAAAAGATAAATTGGAGAAAACATTGGGCGGGCGATCCTCATGAATCAGAAAGCAGAGTTTTACACAAAAGAAATGTGCCAGCAATTGCTAAGCATGGTCAAAGTAAACCAAAGAATATACTATGACCACATGCATTGAGCAGCAGCCTGCACCACCTAGCAAACAGTGGCAGCAGCAGTGAAAGACATGCAGACCCCATGTCTCCGCCACTGCCGGCTAAATGGCATAACCTGCATCATCGTCTTTGTTTTAAATTTTTCCATAGCGAGAGCGATCGTGGAGAAGAGGGCTGGCGACAAAGACAGAGCCAGTAAATAAAAACAACTTTGAAAACTCTCTTGTTGCAGTTCTTTGTTTCACGCACGCTTTACGAGTTTTTCGCTGTGCTGCATAGCGGTAAAATTAAGTTCACTGAATTATATTGGAGGGACAGCCAGCATTTCGTTTGACCTAGTGTGTTTCAGACTTTAGCCTATTCTATTTTAACCATAGGCATGGAAGCAGGAAGGAGTCCCATGTTGCATTAATTTGGTGAGGTGGGCAATATTTTTGCAGTTCAATTCAAGAATTCAGGGTATGCCTTCCCTTCCGCTTAATGCACTCCAACGAATCTTAAAAGTCTCTCATGGCAGAGAAGGCAGAAGGGGTAACTGAATCACTATTGGGCGTTTCCATGTCAGTACACGCATGTATTTTATATTTATGTAAAAAATACATGTGAAAACCACGTTCTTGGGACTCTGAAATGATTCAGCTATATGTGAACGCCATCACTAACTTTCTTACAGAGATATAACATTTCGAAGCTCCAGGTGCGGAGATTGTCAAGGTTTCACTTTGGTGCTTTGCAAAGTCGTCAATTTGCACACTGAAGCATTCACATGATAATAATCTTTTTCTATTTATTTTATTAAAGGTTTACAACATGTACGTAAAATATTAAACATTACAATAAAATATTTGTACGCAAGAAAAAAAGCTATGAAACATGTCAAGTAAACCTGTTTTACAGGCACATTCACAAATTATTTACCAACAAACTACTTCATATAAAATGTCGCAAAATATATCAAGTGACCACCTTTAGGTACACTTTACGCAATATATAAAAATGTATGCTTAGCCGTTATTGTAGATCTTGTTATAAATGCAGAAATGCAACTTACTTTTCTATTGTGATTGCAAAACATTGAGTAACATATGACTTCCTTAAAGGGAAACTGAAGTGGTTCAGTAGCCTCTAGGATCAATAATATCGAGATTATATTTAAATTTGGTGCACGAAGGCTCCAGATATTAATTCTAAAATTACCACTCAGCCTGTCCTTCCAGGGGCGTGACGAGGTATTAGGAGTTTTCGGCATCTCCACTCTCGCGCATCTTCAGCGCGTATCAAAGCTATACACGCACACTCTCGCTCTTTTGAAAAAGGTCACAGAAAGATGTCACGACTGGTGCCAGTGCAGGGGAATATGCCTGAAAAGCTTGCAATCGCACACGCTGCCCACACGAGCGACACACGCTTGGCGGTCCAAAGATCTCAGTATGATGTCACGACTGGTTGGAGGTTTTTCGTGTTTCCTCGCGTTTACAGTTACATCTTCGGGAAAACGAACATGATATTCAGATTCACGGCATAAAAATATGCCAGAATTCACCTCAAACTTGTTTTCTTCGAAAAGTGTTTCAGCTTCCCTTTAAGAGGAAAAAGACAACAAACCTTCACTCAAATCACGGTAGCCTATCTTCGTTATAGGGGCTTGACCATATGACGTCGGCTCCAAAGAAACATATTCTAGAACCGACAAAGACTGTACAGCAACACTTCTCTGTCGCTGTTTCTAGCTTAGATTTCTATTTGCGTCTCCCCGTGTTGCCTCCTAAGACCCCAAAGACCCATTAAAAGACATCTAAATTGAGTATTTATCCAAAGCAAAAAAAAGTCAAATTTGGGGGCTTTACGTGCCAAACCAACGACGGGCATCTGGCACGCCCCAGCGGAGGACTGAGGATTAATTTCGACCACCTGGGGATCTTTTGACGTGCAACCGAAAGCTCGGTTACACGGCGCCTTTTCCACAATAAGCCTCCGTCATATTGCGGGCACCTCAGCCGGGATTCAAACCCGCCACATGGGGATCCGTAGGCCGGCGCTCTTGCCTCGGAGCCACCGAGGTGGCTTTTTTATTCAAAGCACCTTAAGTGCATGCCTTAGATCTTTATAATGGGAAGGGGGGGGGGGATTTAATAGTTTTTGTAGATGCCAACCATGTTTTTAATTGAAATGGTACCTGAAAGATTATTATTTATTATTGTTTCTACAAGGGGAAGAGTCAGGAAGCTCGTAGAAAATATTTTACTCAAGATTTGTCGTCACTTCTCTTGAATAACCCAAGGAAATTTTGGAAGCTGGTTAATCCCAAAGCCAGTGCTGCACTTCACTTAACTGATAACGGGAACATTGTATCTGAGGAGGGGTGAGCTTCACTGTTGAATACGACTTTTGGTGCCGTGTTTACTCATGAACCACTGGGGGAAATCTCTCCTTTTCCTTCGTATTCAAACGATAACATGCGTAACGTAAACATTACACCGGACAGCATTCTTAACCTTATTAACAGCTCTAAACTTTCTACATCCGCTGGGTGCATTAGCTCAAAATTATTGATGTGTACTAAGGGCAATAGCTGTGTCATACTATCCAAAATATTTTCCCAGTCATTACTAGAGGGTAGGCTGCCCAATGATTGGAAAATCGGACGGGTCGTTCCCGTCTTCCAAGGGTGGTAATAAATCATCTGCTAATGACTACAGGCCAATATCTATAATCAATGTGTCATGTAAATTACTTGAACACAATCTATACCAGGGGTGGCCAAGCTGCGGCTTGCAAGCCGCATGCGGCTCTTCGTGTGTTAAAGTGCAGCTCACGGTTTGCTCCCCCACTATCCCCCCCCCCCCCCCCCCCCCCCCGCCTTCCTCCCAATAAGATGCCGACTCTTCAGACACTACTTCCCTCGCCTTGCTTTCACTGTGAAAAACCTTCTCGCGTGAGGGCTCTGGGTTTCATGGCAATGTGCTGAGCATACTGGTCTCGCTGCTGATAACAGCAGTGGTGCCTGCCGACAGTCCCTCGTTAACAAAAGGCCCAAGGAAGGTGGGGGGAGGGGGGAGGGATGCAAGGAAACCGAAATATAAAGCTAAGCTAAGGACAGCATGACTGTCTACACTCTACAACAGAACAGCACCGCTGTGCAGCCCTTGTCTGCTCTAAAAAGTCACTCTTCGGAGCCAACGTCGTTGGGGCGATTCATTTTATGATGATGATGAGCTAGCTTGATTTGAGTGAATGTTTCTGGTCGTTTTTTTCTTCAAGAGGTCATACTTTACTCAATGTTTTGCCATCACAAGTTACTTTAAGTAGTAACTGCAAACGGTTATGAAGAGTTTTGAGAAAAATTAAAAAAATGGAGTCTTTTTAAACACTGACATGCCATTTTGCCACATATACAAAAATCCATTGTGTTTCTGCATTAATAGCAAGACTAAAATAATATCTAAGCATATCTTTTTATGTATTCCTAAAATGCTTTTAAAGATGCACATTTTGATACACTTTGTGCCGTATTATACGAAGCAGTTGTTGGTAAATAATTTGTGGATGCATCTCTAAAACGTGTTTACTTGACATGTAGCGTTGCTTTTTTGAGTAGAAATCATTTATTGTAACATTTACTAATATCCTGTGTACATGATGTAAACCTTTCATAAAATTAATTAAAAACATTATTACTATATAACTGCATGCGTCGGTGCGAAATTGACGGCTGTGCAAAGTACCTTAGTGAAACCTTGGCAATCTCAACACCTCGAACTTGTCAATTTTAAATCTCCAGAAGAAAATTAGCAACAGCATTCACTAATAGCTGAATGTTCCTCCCAAGAACATGGCTCTCAAATATATTTTGTACATAAATATAAGAAGTATAACCCAAACTGTAATTGTATGACCTCACGTGGAAACACCCTATCCTAAGTCCTTTCCTAGCTTACCTTCAATGCTGCGTAGCTCCTCAATGGCATTGTTGACCCAGTACCTGAGAAGCACAAGGTAGTACTCCCGCTGGAAGACAAAGGATATTCGGAAGCTCAGTGTAAGACGCTAAGACCAGATAAATGACAACAAAGCACAGGAATGTGTTATCATAACAAATCAGTTGAAAAACATGGCTCCGGAATAATGCTGTGCCTACGTTTATACAGCCGAAAGTTAGTCTGCCTCAGTGGGCGTCTGGCGTATCAGCTGTAGGTGAGCAATTTAGCCAGTGAGGCACAACCACGAGCCGGGATCTTTAAGGTGCATAACGCAGTAGTGACAAACGGCCGCACGCCAGTACGATGCTCATCTAGATTGATATGGGCAGCGGTGGGAGTTGAACCCAGGATCCAAAAGTACTGCAGCGCGAGCTTTCGCTCCACGTGCTCCGAGCTGGTGTGCGCTAGCCAACTCGGCCACCAATCCCCCTGACCCCAGAAGCTTTAACCCTTTAACCACCAAGTTATTTTCAAAACAAATCTACGAACTTTCCCAGATTTTTTTTTATTTGCACATATTTTTTTCTTATGTCGTTCTGATTTTGGAAATACATTACTTGATTGGTTTCTAAATGGTATTAACACAAAACTTTTAAAAGAAAAAGTTGATTTTTATGGAAGCTTTCCCTCAGTGCATGTAAGAGTAATAGAATAACACGTGCTGAAATGCGCAGTATTTATTTGAACATACGCACCATAACAAAAGATCAAGTGCCTAGACATTTCTTCGTACTAGCGCTATCAAAGTTCCGTAAGTAATGATTCCTTGCAAAATTATTAGCGCAAGGAACACCATCATCTCTTCGCGGTCCACCGGTTTCCATGAAGAACCCCGTGCTGCAAAATGCGGGACCGCGTAGCGGTTTGTCTCTGTCAGAATGAGGTCGACAAGGTCCCAATGAAAAAAAACCTCGAACCAGCCCAGAATGTCTGTGCCGTCGGTGGGTTTCCGCAGAATACCAGGCACTGCACAAAATGGAAACCTCGGAGGTGCGGGTGGTGGGTTTTCAGTGTTAACGCGTTGCCACACTCGAACACTACCCAGCGTGTCGTCTTCTTCGTCACTGTGGTCGTCGTATAAGTCTGTTTCGTATTCAAAATCCATGTCCAACTCACTTTCACAGACAAATTCGATATCTTCATCGTCGCTACTGTTCGAACTGTCGCAAGAGAGAGCCCGTTTCCGAGGGCCGTTGCCAGCATCACTCAAGCGTGCTGCCTATTTCTGATCATTGTTGCAAGGCTAGATACGCGCCAAAGGCCAAAACACGCTACATCTGTGCGACCTCTCCTGCCCTCCAGTGCTAAAAAATGAAACTAAAGCCGATGGATGAACCTGTCTAATGTTTGGCAGTGAAAGCAAACCATCATTTTGGCTGGATGAGTGTGACTCGTCTTAGGCGATATTGGTACAACCTTCCAAGACGAGTACAGCTCGGGCTGGGTGGTTAAAGGGTTAAAGGGATGCTGAACCGAAATTCGGATTTCACAAAATAAGTTTGCAGAAGTGTTCAACAGGGCGCCACAAACCACGAAACATCACTCATATAGCCATATCTCTAGCAGATGGCCATATCTCTGGAAAAGAAAGGAGCGAGTGAGGGAGAATGTTGACGTCATGTAATTGCAGAAGAGCTGAGAAGAAGAAATGACCTTGCTTTGTTTCCTTTCCGCGCCGTCACAGAGCCAAAGCGAAAAGAGGAGGAAATGATAATCGCGAAGTCACGCGCCTTTTCGGCCTTGTGTGAGTGCTCTCTTCTTTTACAAAAAATACGATCCGTTAGAGATACTGCTTTACGAGCGACGTTTTGGGATTTGTAGCGTCCCGCCTATCGATTCTGCGTCGTTTTCTGAAATTTACTTTTCGGTTCAGCATCCCTTTAAGTGTCCTCCCCTTCAAGATGACACCAGCTCTGAAACAAACAACTATCATCATCCTCAAATTATTTCCGCTATGCTTTTGATGATGGCCAACAGCTTTCAAACTACTTTAAATGCTTGTTTGTGGAACTGAATTATTTATTTAATTATTCATTACACACCCTTAAGTCCCATAGGAATTACATGAGGGTGTAGTACAAGAACAAAAGAACATACTGCCCATTCTACATTAAGCGCCCACACCCAAATTTGTAAGATCTGAGGAAATATGCGCAGTACATTTATACGAAAGATTGATGACCGGACAAGCACCCATCCCCTATTTTTTCGCGATTATCTCTAAATTTTGAGTGAGCGCTTGCCCGGTATTTTACGGTAGCACACACAATAATATGGACTTTGTAAAACAAAATAACTTAATCGCAACAAAACTTGTTACCGAAAAATAGCTGTTATATTAATAACATGCTTTTGCTGTGTATAGGTGTCAACATAAGAAGAGCATGTTCCACACATCACAGGAGTCAGGACATGCAAAAAATAAATTATACGAGATAACTATATACTGCTAGGACCCATTGCATGTTCCTATAATCCTGCTAAATGTGTTTTGAAAACAAAGCAATAGAAAACAAAGTCGTGGATAAATCGATTTGTATGCGAGACCCTCGGATCTGCCCCATTCGAAAAGGCCGCCGTGGTTGTTGGGTTGGTGACGTCAGCTCCCCAAAGCGTGGTGATTGGTTCGGCCAAACACGAAACGAGATGATTTGTGTTTTTTAATCAGTTCATGTGAAGCGAGCATTAATCTTGATTCCAGAAACACGGCTTGCTCCGATATAGATGACTGTGAAATTGTAGGCGAAAATCGGGACTTTAATATTTATCGCTGCGACAGAAGACACCGGCATGGCGGCGGTGTTCTTATCAGTATTATAAAAGATATTCCCAGCCAACTTATATCGGCATCAAGTGTGCTGGAAATCAGTTTGGATGTTTTTAAAGGGACCATGAAGGCAATTTAATTTTTTTTTAAAAAGGTGTTTTCGGAAGCATTGTGGTCCTGGCATGCCACACAATTTTTTCTAGAACGTTGTGACTCTTATTTCTGTACCTGCTAATAAATTTGCGAAACCGTAACAAACCATTCAGATTTCTTCCCTTTTTCGCCTCTGGAAAGAGAAGTGACGTCAGGGAGCACTGTCGGCATCGGTAGGATTTAGTGCACACTCAGTGTGGTTCCGGTGGTTCGCTCTAGTGCACGGCGGTCTGTGAAGAAAACCTGGAAGAAATGGACGACAACGCCGCGCTTGCAAACAAGTTTGAGCTCCCGTTCAGGGACCTCACGCCGACTGAACGGGAGATGCTGCTAAGGACGCAGAACTCTGGATTGGCGCCTTACGAGGGCGATGCAGCAATGCTGCGCATTGCTGCATCGGTCGGCAGTTTATGCAAACTAACGTCGCCCGATCGACCGCACGTCTTTAGCCGACCTCCCGCACAACCTACTACTGCACATAAATGCGGCATGATTGGTGAGACACCAGTTCGGAAAGCGAACACGAGACGACGCACGAAACCAAAACCAAAAGTCCGCCGCCCCCGGCGCTCGTACCTCCTTTTCTTTTTTTTTGTCCATGGTTGCTCGATGCTTGTTACGCGCCCGAGGTAGCAGTGCGGGATGGGTTCACCCAGTGACAAACAGAGGGATCGCTTCAGATTATGCTTTGATACACGGTATGAAACCTATTAATTCCCAACTACAACTTCAAAAGATTATCCAACATTCAAATAAACTTTTTTCATCACATCTCACCACCAAATTCGAAACCAAGACCGCGTCTATCGTTTGAACCAATCGCCAGACGAGGAGCCCGTTGTCGTCACGCTTCGTCGGCGCACTTTAGTTCACCTTTCTGCCACCGCCTCGGTGGGGTCTCAGGCATCGTTCCCGGCGCTATTATTATTGCGCCTGTTTGCTCGATTGGTGCGGCACCCAAACTTCTGTTCGGGCTAGAACTAGGTCAACAGTATCTGAGACGTGCCTGACATCCATTTCAATTGTCGAATAAAACTTCGAAACTGCCTTCATGGTCCCTTTAAAGTGTTCCTTTAAGACACTACTCATAGGGGTTTATTATCGCCCTCCTGACGTATTATTGATTTTTACTGATTTACCTAGAGGATGATCCAGATGTCTTGTCATGTTCCTATATTGATTGTCCTATGTTCGTTTCCTTTCAGAGATTTTAACTTTCCCAGTATAGATTGAAGCGGTGCTGCTCCAAATGCTGTCACAGGCAGAGTGTCGAACCGAAATTTTTATCGGTTCGGTTCCGGTTCGGGTTCACGGCTTTCGGTTCGGTTCCGGTTCAGTTCCGGGGAGCAAAAAATAACGGTTCAAACCGGTTCGAACCGGTTCGAACCGGTTTGAACCGCTAAATTGAGAATATATTTTTCGTATTGTTCTGGCAATATACACTATTTACGCCGTGAAACGATTAATTATATAGTTTCTTCGATCGTCTGTGCAATTTACTTTTGTTTTTAGGTACCATAAATATTAAATTCAGTTCTTTGATTTCGACGCCACAGTAGAAAAAAATCTACATTAACATACATAACGTCGTGTTCATACGACTCCACATCCCTTTGTTTACCAGTAACATATATTTTACCTGAATCAAAATGTTTAAGTACAAGAGTAAAGAGTTGATCAGCTTCAAATTTAGAGCTATATACTGTGTTTTATTGTGCTTTCTTCGTGTTTAAGTAAAATTCTAAAGTTCAAGGTGATCTATTTACACGGTATAACATGTTGTCGCAAAGTGTGGTAGGTCGCCTAAAATACCCGTGGTTAGTACAACTTTGTGTCGCAGTGTTAAAAAAGAAATCGTGATTGTGTCTTTGAACTGAGGAATTAATTACATTACATAAAATTATGAAATGAGCACCTCGTGCTCATGCTAATTATGAAATAAAGTTTACGAAATACACTTCACAATATATATGTATATGATGACGACACAACTGAGCTAAAAGCAATTAAATTTTCAGAATGTAACAAAAGTTTTAGGATAATTCCTTTCAGTCTTTTTTTTATAGAAACGCCGAGCGGCAATTCAAATGCTTGTTGTTCTAACCAAA